ATTTTTGTTAAAATTTTTGTATTGTAATTATATAAATATTTTTTTTATTTAATATCAATTTTAATAATTAATGACTAAATTTTGCATCATAATTGTATTTGTGACGAATATTTTTTTGTGACGAATAAAATTGTTATAAATAACTTATTAACAATGTCAATTTTTTCTATCACTATACAATTATTTTTTGTGACATGCGTCTAATTTGTCATTAAGAGCATTAGTGACAAGGGTTTTACTAACAATTTAAATTTTATCATTAATAATAATTTGTGACGAAAAATGAAGATTTAATGATCAATAATTTAGTCACTAAATATGGATTTTCTTGTAGTGTTGTGAGATGTTGTAATATATGTCTTTTAAAAGAAGAAAAAAATATTATTAGAAATAGATAATAAAATTAAACATAGTATACAGAAACATGTGATATTAAATATTTAGTTTATAGGTGTTTTAATAGATTTAAGATTTTTTTAATACTTTGTGATAAAAATTTGTAAAATTAAAATTACTCTTACCAAACTTAATTTATTTAGATTTGATTCACAATATAATTAATTTTGAGATAAAAATAATTTTTTTTTCGAACATATATATAAAATAAAAAATAATTACTACAAAAATAGCCTTAAACAGAAAAGACACAAAAATCCATACAAATGAAAAATGATACTCCTTCCATCCATTTTTAATAAGTCTAATTTGATTTTTTTCACTTTTAAGATAAGAATTTTAAATGAAAATTTAATGATTTATATGAATAATAATTGAAATGTTTTTTGTCCTTATATATAGTTGTTAAATATTTTTATTTGATCAAAAAAATTTTCATTTGTTAATTATTTAAATTATTAAATTTTCACTTAAAATTCATATCTTAAAAGTTAAAAAGTCAAATTAAATTAAATTTATTAAAAATAAATAGAAGAAATATAAAATTTAATGTATTTACAAAATAGATAAAATTTTTATAAAAATAACACTAATTATTATTGCTCTATTTAAAATTTTTACTTATTAAAAATACCTTTAAAAATTAAAGTATTTATAAAATTATCATAAAGTCAAATTCATTTTAAGATTGACTAAGAAATACAAAAGAGAGAAAAGTGGAGATAGTAGAGTTGACTTATCTTCCTCGTTACTCTTTGGATTTTGGCAGGCATGTGGTAATATAATACTAGTAATTTTGGAGAAATAAAAAATAAAACGCCGCATTTATGAAAAACAAAAGAAAAATACTAAAATTGCTCTCTTTGTTTGCTCGACTACTAAAACTATTTAAAGCATTATAAATTATAAAGGGTGTTTCGTAAAATTTTAATTAAATTTAGTTGTTTTAATTTGATGTTTAAATAAAATTTTATCATATAAATTTATATAGTAAATAGATAATAATTGAAATTTATATATATATAATACTTGTTAAATATTTTTATTTAGATAAAAAATAATTATTATTCATTTACTATATAAATCATCATGTCAAACTATATGAAAAGTTAAATTGGATAAATATATCTAACTAGAGCTAATAATTGCTTTAAAAACAAAATTTTCTCTTATAAATTCAAAATTTTGTTTGGGAGAAATTAAAAATTAACTTTTAAAATTTTCTTTTTATTTATTTTTAATAGTTTTAGTTTGACTTTTTAGATATAAAATTTATATAATAATATAATAATATTTATATAAGTAACATTTAAAATTCAGATATACAAGTAAGAAAGTTAAATTATGACTATTAAAATTAAATAAAAATAATAACTTTTAAGTAAATTTTTAAAAAATTTAAATATACACTTTTTTTAAAACAAACTTAAAATTTTCTTCAAAAATTAATTTTTAAAATTTTTTAACACTTTTTAAATTTATGAAAAAAAAAATTTTTAAACAAGTTGCTTTTTAAACTTGTCAAACACCAACATAATAGAAATATTACTTAAGAAGAAGCCATCTAATGTAATTGAAAAAAAAAAGGAGAAGAAGAAAATACAGGATTCTTAGAATCTTACCTCTCCTACTTAACGATAGACAGAGATGGTGTTTATCAAAGGAGATAATCCTGAAGCAAGAGTGCTCTATGCTTTAGTTGGTGTTACTGGCCAACTGAACGGCAAGATTTCTGCGAGAGAAAGAGAATAATAAGAGAGACTGAGAGTATAGAGAGTGGGCCGAACTGCATCTGTGGCTTT